GGAAACCAAAATTTTAGACATGTAAAAAACCAGGGCACTCATTGATCTTTTTTTACGTTTTTTTTTTTTTTTTTTAAGTTCAGAAAATTCTGTCAATTTAACATTACATTTTAGAGGTTTAAATATTTTCAAATAAGAGCATTTTCACTCCAGAAGACATCTGCCCCTCTCTCTGCCCCATGAAAGGTCTCCTTGGAAGCACTAACCACATGCTATGTGCAATGCCTGCCAGTGGGACTGATAAACTGATCTTGAGGAGCAGGAGCCTTTCTGGAAGCAGTCCTTAGCTCCGGGGATCCGGGCAGGGAGACGGGGCAGCCCCACCACGCGTCGCAGGGGTCAGGCAGGCACCCTGCAGGCCTCAAGTTTTGCAATATGTAACATGGTTATCAGCAAAAAGAATACCAGCAGGAGAGAAGTAAAAAAAAAAATAAAATTAAGTACTTAAGGCACTCTCCGAGGATAAAGAGAATTTTAAAAGTAAGAAATACTTATTCTGCAGCTGTATGTACAAAATGCTATGTCTACTTAATAGGGTTTTTTTTACACAGGGGAGGTCTCAACCACAGAGGTTCAAGGTATGTGACTCAAACTACTTGCTTAACTACTTGCAGGAAATATCACTTATTTCCCAGGAACCTTGATACTATGTTCTTCTACTATCTGGTATTGTTAATTTAGCCAATAGTAATTAAACTTACACATTTGCAGGTTTTTTGGACTAGCTGTGGAAGAGTTGCACTAATCTAATATTATCTGTTATTATTTTTACAGAAGACTTAAAATTTAAAGTTAAAATTTAAAATTTTAACTTTATGCTCCTGAGAATCCACATACTTAAAAAAGTCAACTTGGATTGGAAAATTTTTGTATCAGAACACACTAATTTTGCATGTATAATATATAAACACGACCTTTATAATTCATACTACCTCACAGGCACACTGCTGTTGTTCCTGATGTGGCAGTGGAACCTTAAAATACTTATTTAAATGACTAACATGCTAAACACTAAACAGTGATCACAATCCAGCTAACAGTTTATAGATTTAAATACTGAAGTTTGGGTGATTTAGAGCTGTCAATTATACTCAAACTTGTACAAGTAATAAAGTTACTTCTCAGCATTGTTTCAAGGGAAAATAGTGGGAAAAGCTAAGAAAATTTCTAATAATTACAATTTAAATCATGTATCACTGGAATATAGCTGTATGCAACATATATCGATAGCAAGAATTAAAAGCTTAATTTTTCCTTGTGCGTTAAGCCTCAAGTCATTTCACAAATTGAATTACCATTAAGGAATTTCTGTATTTATCTCAGAAAATCCATGTGTGCGTATTCCTTCTAGGAAATCAACTGAAAAGTTCCAAAGCAGTAGGGAAAACGGGAGAAAATTTATTTTAAACAAAACGCCTTTATAAAACAATTCATTAGAATATTTTTCCCACAAAAAACCCAAGGCAAATTCATGCAGAAATGCCTTTTGCAGTTGGACTCTTTTTCCCCCAGTTTCTGTTACACTTGGATTGGTTTGCCTTACATGGACAATTTGCAAAAAAACCCCATACCTTTTTATGTGCACATGCAAGGCAAAATGAGTGAATGCAAAGATTCACAGAAAAAAAACCACAATATTCACGAGTCCTGTTAGATCCAAGTGGTAACAGAAGCAACTCAGAGGGAAAGCAAAGGCTACTCAATGTGAATTGCCCAGTGCATGTGCCCTCTTCCTTTCTGTTACTGTAAATTTAGTAACTTCTCCTGATACCTTAATTTTCATTTTCTGTCAGAATTCCAGCCCACCTCATTTTTTCCTAGTATCACTTCAAATATTTACAGACAAATATTTATAAAACTCATTTACATAAACATAAAACAAAATAGGACTCTGCGTTTATCAGACTGCAAAAATCCCAAGAAAAATCTTTGCATTTTGCCTAGCACGCTTTCTTACATTAAATATTTGTCAGAAAATGAGCCCTGCAGTAAACTACGATCTCTAAGGACATTTTGAATGCTTGCTTCCACTTTGAATCCCTGCAAAACACTTGGGAAGAGTGCCGATTCCTGTAAATACTTTAAATTACTTTTTGCTAGCTTTACTTATTTATTCATTCAGTACACCTTGTTTGGGATTGTACAGCACTGGAAAATGTAACTTCTCGATTTTTCAAATATCAACTCACTTTGTGAAAAATAAAGCGTAGCAAAAAGTTCTAATAAAAAAGGTTTAAAGGAAAAAGGTCTAATTACAAAAACTTCCAGATTTTTCAGAAATAGAACAGTAAACATATACAATGTTACTAGAAAATCATAATGTAACTATAGTACAAATTACGTGAACCATGTTACAGACATAGATGTTGCCTGTCTCTTCTAAGTACTGGTATCCAGATTGGTTTAGTCTCCACATCAAAGATCTTACATGTGGATTTATACATGGGACATGAAAAAGGAACCCACACAGCTCTTTTCTAAAGATCGGTATGCATAATTCTTGCTGCTTTATCCCACAATTTTTCTCAAAACACTTCTCCTCTGAAAGCCAAGGCACTTTGAAAGAAAATTTGTCAAATATACATGAGTAGAGAGGAATTTATGATAATGATCCATTTAACTAGCAACAGACTCAAATTACCCTATTGGAATGCAGTACCAGTATTAAACATGGCACACCTTGAATCAGATGAGGAATTTTTACATGAAATATGTACATTTGAGTGAATGTCATGAACCAGTTTGTCCAATTTATGAGAAATGTCTGATCAACAACATTTTATTCTATTTTTCCCTCATCTTGTATCTCTCATAGGATCTCGTATCTCACATAATATCTGAAAATAATTTCAAGTCACGAGAATGTATTTTGGTATCAATTTTGAAGTAATTTTACAGGCGCACTTCTTACTGTTTTGAAGGATTTGTGGGAATCCATTGCAAGAATGCATTTATCTTTACAACCTTCCTATGAGGAACCCTAGTTTTACCTCTGTATTTTATAGGTTAAGATTGCCAAAGAATAAGTCTCACTGGAAGTTACCGGGGACCATGGAACAGATCTCTATTCCTTCAGAGCCCTAAAAAGGCAACAACAACAGTTGGATCACTTTTTTCTTTTTTGAGGAGATACAGTTCCAGACAAACATACAGTGCTGGATAGCTGAATCTTATTCTGAATAACAAGCCATTTGAAAGAGATGAAAGTACACAATTGGCTAGCTACATACTATTTAAGCACGAGCTTTAAGATACAAAAACACCCAAAAGCAGATGAACTAACCATTACTGGTTTATGGCTCCTTAGGAACTCGGGCAAAGGCATTTTCCAAGAGCCGAGGAAAGTGAAGCTAGCTGCCTTTGCCCTAGGGAGATGTTGGGCGGGCAGAGCAATAGCTGCAACTGCTCTTGCCTTCTCTTTGGAGCTCTGGCAATAACAGCAATAGCCAGTGTGGCTTTCAGGGACTCAGCCCAGGCAACTTCGCTGCCTCTGGCAGTCTACTGCTCCAGGCAACCTTACCTATGCCCAGAACTAGCAGAGCATTAAATTATACATGTACCTATTGTTTGTTCATAAGCATGCGCACACAGCATATATCTAAAAATACTCAGTTGAAGGCTGTACATTTCTGTAGCAAGATTTCGCTAATAAACATAATGAACTTTTGTTTTCCTTGTATCTTTATGTTTCTGTGTAATTCAATTTATTTGTTGCTCTTTCCCTATGCTGTATGTCTGCAGAACTGAAAAATCAAAGCTGGTAGCTGCAGGTCCAAATCAATAAGAAAAACCTGGGTTCAAAAACTACTGCAAAATTTACTATACCTCTCTATTGACTGGTGTGAAGCTGAAAGGAGGCTTGAGAAAGAAGCCCAAAGCAATGGCAACTAAAGTTCGGCTCCTTACTTCTTTTGCCCAATATCCACAAATGCTCTGTGGAAATTCCTGCACTCCAAGCTCTCAAAGAGCTTTAGGAATTGATCTGGAGCTCCGTATCTGCCAACTGCTTTGATAACTCTGGTTGGAAATAAAATATATTCAGTGTTATTTGGCTTTATTAGTAGCAGTACTTAAGCAGCTGCCTGAGAGACTGCAGGATCAGGCTGCATTTCTTTTTTCTTTAATACTGTTCTTTTTTCCTTAGCTAAAAAATACTGAGCCCTTCTTTTCACTTAATTTATCAACACTAAAGTGTGCTATAAACCAGTATTGCTATGGTTGAACACGCATTAATGTGTCCTCTTACAGCTCTCTAAGATTTTGCAAAACCAAACAACTATTGTTATTTGCCTTAGAAAAAAAAAGCAATCCCTTCTTTAACCTGTATGCAAATTTCTGATGCAATACAACTAGTGCCAAAATTCTGATTATATAATTAAAAAAAAATAATTTATTGCTGGTTATATTTTCTGCAAACTGCAAATCCACAAAGATTTTCTTAAATTTCAAAATAAAAGAACTGATGAAAATACTACCAAGCATAATATTGCATTCTTTAAAAAAAATATATAAATTAGCGATACATTTTAAATAGACACCTCTTGTTTATTAGTTTCCAAGCAAATGTTACCAAAAAGCTAAATTATAGTTGAAATATTATAATGTCATATTTCATAAGGACATTTAGAATTGGCATAATTTTGTTCTCTTAATTTTGTAAAATTGAATATAATCTGGTAAAATGGATATTTGACCAACCTTTAAGAACATACAGACATAGTATAAAATGACTGCACTTTCAATGGGAGTTATACTTGTAAATACAGCAACATATGGTTTTGTGTAAGATTACAATAATTTATTTCAAAATATCACCCTTCCTAGAGTGAAAAAATTAAAACAGCCAGGGAACTGAAAATTCAAAAGGGTTAGGTATATTAAATTTTCTTCTTTCTAGGATGACAGTGCTGGCAAGCACAACTTTTATCTTTATGCAAAAACTAATTTTTATCAAACTCTTTTTTAAAATTACAGGATTATCCATAAGGGAAGATACTTACAGATCCTGCCACTAGAGAGGTACTCTGAAATTCATCAATATCTTCCGTAAGTGTTTCAACCCCGGGTACTTGAGCTGTTCCAAAGAGGTAGAAGAGAAGTAAATCACTCCAGTTAAGTAAGCATTAGTCACTTTGAAAATAAAATGCCTATAAATTAACTGCTAGGAAGGTAAATGTGGCTACTGTAAACACACTGCTTTTCAGGTACACTTCAATGGATTTTAATTTATGTCTGATTTTAATTTGTGTCTGATTTTAATTTATAAGCTTAATGCAATGTGGAACAGCATCTCTAACATGATTAGACTGATAAGCAAGCTTCCTTCAGCTGCCAAGGTGTCTCATAGGTTATTTATTATTTTTACTATTAAAACTAAATACTGTTTGTCCTTTACACAAGTGAGTAGTGGATCATCAGCTTTAATAAAATCAGTAAAATTAAATTTAATTAATTCTATTAAACTAATTAGAATATATTAAAAATCCTGGAAGTAAGAAGTTCTGGTCACTTTAAGCAATGTCTAAAAGCCATGCAAGTTATAATTTTTGCCCATACCGCCACATTTGTAAAACAACATGACTCGGTGAGAAGTCTAGAATGCCTCTGACACATACGTAATGATTTAAAACAGAATTTATGTACCTATGTCAGAGAAAGCAATTTCCAAGTAACATGCGATGCAGTTTCACTCTTTGCCTGACAGTCTGGTGGGCACTTAGATGCTGCTCATAAGCAGCCTAAGAAAACAAGATGCCCCAATCTTCCCAAGGTTCTGCTGTTATTCAGACACTTAGCAGAGAGGTCCTTACATTTCCAGAGTACCCTGATTTGTCAAACATCTCAGACTACTGTAAAGACAGAACTATATCGAAGTACGGCAACCATGGTTACCACATTCATTGCAAACACAAATGAAAGCGGAGAAAGAAGAGGTGATGATGATGCAAAATCGTAGTCAGAGAACCGGGCAGAAAGTTGGAGGTGATGACACATTTTTTGCCACTGCCATATCTAGTTCTCAACCCTAATTCCCACATATTTGCATCCCTATTAATTTTTTACCCTGATCATGCAGTTCTACCTGGAATAGCACTATATGCGCTTCATACATTCCTATTTCTATTGAACGTCCCCAATTTCAAACTTTTCTTCTACATTCAAATGCTTGTTTTGAACTTTCTACTATATTGGGAAAAGGAAAAAGAAGTATACAAAAAAAAAGCTACACATCCTAGTCTTTTCAAGTTTCTTCAAACAGGAGTTGGCTAACTGCAAATAACAAAAAACAGTGATTCCTGTTTGATAGGGAATAAGCTACTGATGTGAAATTTCCTTAGTAAAATATATTTAGCAAACTAAATATTCTGTATCACAGTACAGCCTGTAGATCTAATAACATAATAGAATAGGAAATACCCCATGTACACACTGTGGCATAGTACCATATAATCTATCATTTTCAGTCCTATCCCATTACTCCAGGTAGAGCCACAAAAGAAATAAGTCTTTGCCCACACCTCAGAAATATGTGGTGTTGCAAACTGCGCTGCAGAGTAACTCACTTTAAACACAGCTTTTCTCAGACAAATTGAGGAGTGGTTTAGAAGTGCTATCCTTTTCATTTATCCGATATTAAGACTTTTCTCCCTAATAAGTTATTGCATTTTAAGATTCCTTCTACAAGAATGCACTGACTGCAAAGACGTTATTTGCAATAATGTCTTCTTTTCCTGTCTTATATCATGGCTGTCACTAGTATGGTACTTTTCAGCAAAAGGGACTGAAACAAGTGAAACAAGGTCCTATAGCACTTCTAGGCAAATGGGATCAAATGAACAATTATCCTTTAGTGATACTATTTCTTAATATTCAATTTAAAAAAAAATAAAATACACAGTAGTAGGTGTCCTCTACAATGCCCCCAACCTGAAAAACAAACTGAGGGTTGACAGATGCAGATTTTTACTGAATCAATCCTGTTGCAGTGTCTATGTTTTGAAGCCTCAGCTGTTCTCCTCATCTATCTGTACAGAACAAGAGCAAGGCTTAATGGAGGACTGATCCAAGAGACAAACCTGACAGGCTTGGCATCTACAGGGGATGTTTGCTGCAGGGTCACTGAAGCTGCTTCTTCTAATCAAAATCAAGAACCTAGCTATTAAATTCTTCCCTTAGTTCTCTCCTGTGAAACAATCCAATGGGAAAGAGACAGTTTTGAGAGGTATAGTTTAGGACAGTAAAAAGAAATTGCAGCGTTGAAGTGTCTTGTGTTGTCCGATCTTGAGACCTGATTCCCATTCCTCATTTTTACTACTTAGATCAAAGACAATTCTGTCCAATTCAGCAAGATTATACTAGAGGGAAATCAGTGTAGTGGTTAATTAGAACCAGATCCAGATTGCCTGCAGAGTCAGTATATTGCCTGATGCTGCAGGTGATCTTTGTACATTAGCTATTACATTGACTTTATTAGGTGGAATTGCTTTAGTAAGGCTTATTTATAAGGGCTGTTAGATCAGATGTGCTGCCAATTACTTCTGAACCTAGTTCATCTGAAATCCACCAGAGAGATTCTCCAGATCTAACAACTTAACAATTTCCCACTAACCCAGAAACAGATCATTACCTAAAGAAAGCTCCCCTCAACTTTGCTCTGCATCAGCACCCTGCTTGCATATTCTAGAACAAATGGTTTACATCAGCACTTCCCAAGGCATAGTTTTCTCTCAGTAAGGTCATTGGTACTGATAAGTAAGAGCAGAAAATAAATTCAAATAAAACTGGTAAGTGAAGCCTATTAGCCACTTCTTCATGATATAATACATTCTTAAGAGGGCATAACTAAAAATTCAGTGCAACATGATGCCTTGGTTACTTAGGGTTTTCTAATAATATCTTTAGGAGTCTCTTTTGTCATCTTCTTCTCATAAATAATATTTATTGGAAATAAATATCACATGCACAGAAAACAAGTAATGTGCTGCATTTACAGGCGAGATTGATAGAATGGGAAGTTGCCTGAGTTTTGTGCCTGTTTCTAGTCTGTGCCTACTTGTAAAATCCAGCTGTGCTTTTTTTTTCAAATCACCATGTATTACTAGCCAACATTTAAGGGAAAAAAAAATATTTTGGAAGGCTGAACATTTCTGAGAGCACCTCTTGACAGAAATTTGGCAGTACCTCACTGTTGACCTCAGTCCTTTTGCCCCAGGGGCTTGGTGTTTTCTAGCTATATGGCTAACAGGTTCATGTATGTTCACAGACACAAGATAGATATATTTATAAAAACATGAATGTCATTGCCTCACCTACCTATCTAACTTTTACCCCCTATATTTTTATTAGAGGTGTTTGTTTAAGGAAAGTGTTCTCAGTCTTCTCTATATCCGTTCTGACTACAGATAGCATCCAGAAGCACGTAAAGTGGTCCAAGTTCCAATGGCTATAGCGCTCTTGTGCTCCACACTCTGAGACACAGCATCCAGCACCTCCTGACAGTTTCACCTCCTTTAATCCTGGTGCCTCTGTCATTTAGCAACAGCTTGCTATTTTACTGAAATCTACAGTTTCAGAAGATGGCATGGCAAAGCGGGCATATTTCCACTTTAAGAATAAGGGTCCACAGGAAGGAAAAAGGAAGACAGAGATCTGTTCAAAACCAACTGTTTCAGTAAGTGTAGAACTTTTTCCTACATGTATGTCTTACCACTCTACTTCATTCTGCTATAATAATCTCATTCTTGCATACCCACTTACCCACCCCAAACAAGTCACCACCACCTCCCTTTCTGGGGATTACCCTCATAACAGCAGAATTTTGTCTTCCTTTCACAGAACTTGAGTGCAGTCTGGGTCTCTCTTGCTGACAGTCTTCATTGAGTTTGTAAGAACATCATATTTTGAGATTCTGAGTCCCCTATTAATTTTTTAAATAAAGTGATCAATGGCAGATGAAAGGAAAAACAAATGGCATGACTGCATGAAGCCACGCATTCTCACAAAACCAGTTTGAAAAATCTGTCTTTAAAGATGTACTAGTTCCTAATGCTGACATATATTGGTTTAAAATGAGGCAAGAGAAATATGTGAAAGCTCAGGTTGCCATCATACTTAATAGCACATCTGATAGCACTAAATAGCAGACAATTAGCAGGATAATTAAAAACAAAAGTTAGTTCCGATTTGTTTTGAGTTAATTAATCAACTTAGCTAACTTGTCTGGGGCTGCTGAAGACTAACTGCAAATCAAATCCTCCAATTAATAGACCCATCTGGTTCTGCCGAACAGTAAGGGAATGGACTGAAAGATTTATCTTTGCAGATTCTCTGCCCAAACCTCTATTCCTTTCTGTCTCCATTCCAGTGACAGCTAAGATAAAGTTAACCTTCATCAACTTAATCTTTCATAGGAAAGCAGGTCATTCTCTGGCAAGATATCCCTTAAGAAGTGCCTTTTCCATTAGTTTTCAGCTGTTATTCTGTTCAAAAACCTGAGCAGAAATTGAAATAAGGTTGAGTGTCCTGACTGCAGATTAGCGCGATGTATGATTATATTTGTATGAGGAGAAAAAAATGTTCTTCAGATCTATTGTATCAATTCATTTTTATTGTATTTCAATTCTAGTCAGTGTGCTTGGAGAGATCGAAGCAGTATTTCTGATACTTAACTTAAAAACAGGGGACAAATTCTGTATCTCTTTTTATATATACTATTTGAATCCTATGGATGCACTTGTAGAATTAAATTAAATATTTCAAAGACCATTCTTTGGCATAGAGGCCAATTGGCAATGAACAGCCCATGTCTACGCTATTAAGCTATTTTACATCCCAAACAGTGTGCTAACATACAAACTGTCTGCTAAGAATGAATCCTGGCCCAAGGTGGCTCCCAAAATATACCTAGGAATTATTCTGGAGTACTAACTAGCTGTGACAAAAACCACGTTAGGAGCTCTTCTAACAGATTTGATGTGTAAATGATTGAGTTCCAATGCACAGGAACACTCTCTGGAAGTGCTTAATCTTCTTTTACAGGCATTGCCTCTACTCTTAAATGTAAGATGTTGGTGTTTGGGCTGATTTTTTTTTTTTTTTTATGAGCAGCAAATATTTATATAACTTACCCTCAGAGTCTGACACTGCTGGCTCAGATGTTTGAGATATCATGGAGACATCTTCTGGCCTTTCTGCCAAATTATCTCCTTGCAATCTAAATTGTGGAAAAATGTAATGAAAACATTTGCAATCACATTCCACAGATAAGACACAGAAGAGTGTTATCTCTGACTACATACCCTACTCACAATATTGTCCTAAGTAAAATGGTAGCTTTGCTGAAAAGCCAACATCCATGGCTCAATCATATAATCCCAGATTGTCTAGCCTCTAAAAAACAGTCAGCTGAATCCTAGCTTATGTATTTTTGTAAGACTTCTTATAACAAATGAAACTGCAAGCTTCCTTCGCTACATACATTCAACAGTATTTTAATTGAACAGGACTGTTCCAGGGGCCTGTGTCAAAGTGTTGGCAGTGGGGGAGCTGCAGGGGTGGTGGTGGTGGGGAGAGGCCAGGATTGCCCTGTGCCAGGCACAGCCAGTGCCATCCGGCTCCAAAAGACCCACAGCAGGGCACAGCTGAGCCCCTCAGCCAAAATAGTGGTGCCTTAGAGAAAACATAGTTAAGGAAGAGCAAACAATACCACACCGGTAGAAGATCAGGGAACAGAAAGGGTGGGAAACAGCAGAGGGAACAGAAAGGTTGGAAGAGCAGATGCTCCCCTGCAGCCCGTGGTGAGGAGCACACCAGAGCCAACATCCACTGCAGCCCATGGAAGACCCACACCAGAGCAGGTGGCTACATCCTGGAGGGACTGTGGTGCTTGGAGAATCCACAATGGAGCAGATATTTTTCCTGAAGGACTGCAGCCTGTGGGTAGACCTCACGCCAGAGCTGGTGAAAAGTGTGAGGAGGAAGGAGGGGCAGAGAGGAGATGTTATGGAGTGACCCCAACCACCCATTCCCTGCTCATGGGGTGGGGAGAGGAGTCTGGAGTGAAGGAGCGGAGTCAGGCCTGGAAAAGGTGGGAGGAAAGGTGTGGGTTTAATGTTTGTCGTCTTGTTTCTCATTACCTAAATCCATTTCAACCGGCAATAAATTAAACTAATTTTCCCCAAGACAAGTCTGTTTTGACCACAACAGTAACTGGTAAGCAATTTCCCTGTCTGTATCTCTAGCCACAAGCTTTTTCATCTTCTTTTCTCCCTTCGTCCTGAGGGCAGTGAGTGAGCAAGCGGCCGAGTTGGGGGATAGCCCTTAGCCAAGGCTAACCCACCACAGATAAAGACATGCAAGAATATTTCCTCCTCTGTTCTTATTTTTAAATGAAAAATACAGTAATCATGGCAGGCTTCATCTTCAGGCTTTCCCCCTGCATCAGCTGACTGCAATGCCTTGACAGCAATTTACAAAAATAGTCCTTGTATCTGTTCTTTTAAATGAGCATCCCAAGAGTCCCACCATCCTTCTTCAGGCTCTTATGAGTCCCAAGTACAGATTCTGCTCTGAAGAAATGGTTTGTAGCTTTTAACACAATATAACTGCCATTTACATAAAGGTTATCTTACCTTGAATTTATTCAGACATGAAAAGAGTAAGAAAAATGCAATTCAATTTTGCAAAGCCTGGGAATCATAAAAATGCACTGAAGTAAACCCTTGGGGAAAGGAATAACTTATCTCTTAAAAAAAAGTTCCTTTCACTCTATTCTCACTCTCTGCAGCTGCTTTGTGCTAAACTTTGAATTAATCATTGAAACCAAACAGAATCCCCATGTCCGCCCTATCTGAATTTCACATTTTGTGACTCTCACAGTTATCTAATATATTTGAATCTTAAGTCATCTATTTGTTTGTACCTTCTCAAAACCATTCCCTCCACACACACAATTACTTGTTCTCCTTTTATTGCCCCTGGGATGGTTTATTTATGATGGAAAGCTCAATGTAAATTCATGACTCTTACCTGAGAAGGCAGTTCCACAGAACACAAAACTCAGGGAAACAAAGGCGTAAAACTTAGAAGCTTTAAACCTAATTTTGAAAATTACTTCCACGAATCCTTTATAGCTCTATACCTGGTTTGTAATGGTCTAGTTACTAATTCTTTAAAAGCCTAACTTGTCAAACAGGCTCTTCTAAAGATGAGAGTCAAGCAGAACCAAATAACTTTGTACCATTATACTTAAGATATTCAAATAGGGAGAAAACAAATTGCAAATGAAATAAGCACACAAAAAAAAGGAGATCTCAAAAAATCACATCAATTTCCTTTGCATTAAAATTGACCTGTCCTCCTTCATTACATACATAAGCACGTTTACTGCAAGCACATATTCAAGCTTTTAGGATATGGATGGAATTGCAGGAAACAGAAGTGATGAACTCTTCTCTGCAGCCATGTTGATAGTTTATTTGTGTTTAATTAAAGGGAAAATCACTCCAACCTCCTCTGCTTATATTGCAGTCATAAAAAAATATCTCTAGAAGTAGGAGCTGCTTCTTTTATCCCATCAGAATTTTCAAGATCATTTAATACATTGCCATTCTGAGCTGTCATAAATCCAAACCAGACATGAAGAACTGAAATTATTCTCATCTTATTCTAGAAATTACATATATTTAAGCAGCTCATTGTCTCATGAAAAATAAAAAAAAAAAAAATCTTTTAATTGTATCTGGTCAGAAGAGCCATTCATATGATTTCCCTTTGTAGGAGGAAATGGCTGGGTGAACTGCATGGGTGGATGGGTGAGTAAGATGTTTGAGATATCTGGACCTCATTTTCACATCCAATTTTCAACTTATTTATATATTTCTTACCTGTGGATTCATATTGGAATTGATTCTCGTGACTCAAGCAACAAAAAAGTCACACACACTTGCTCATCAAAAGAATTGTTACTTGGACTATTCTTCAACAGTAATACTATTCATGACACCTCCACAGTAAAATGAAAACACTTAAAAATTCTTAAGCAATAGACTAGAAAGAAGAATATGAAGCATACATCTAGAAGAGCTTCTGAATACTTCAGAAGCTCGTTATACAATCAGAGATTTTCTGATCTGTCCTCTGCTGTACCATCCTGCAAGCATCATTAATGTTGGAAGGCCTAAGCTATGAGATCCACTTATCTGGTCCCTGGTACTACAAAAGCATTTTCATCTCCAACTCTTTTTCTTGCAGACTAGTGTACACAGAAGTGTAAACTCTAAGGTAGACTTGATTCTTTACTGCCAGATACCGAACAGAAATTCCTTCAGCAAAAATAGGTAAAATGATGACCAAAATTTTGTGTTGGAACTTTTCATCCACTGCTTTGGAAAAGGCAATTATAAAAAGAGCAATGTTATGCGTCACATCCTTGTTTGCAAAGCAATCTAGAAGAGTTGAGCTTTTCTAAACTGGTGGCTAGCTTTGAAAATGTTGGCTGTTATTTTTGCTGAGTACTCTTAAAAAAAAAAGCAAACAAACAAGTTACCTAAAAATTACTATCTTACCAATACTTTATGGACCATTTCAGTTATTAACTGAAACATTATTTCGGCTATTAATTATTTTAATGGCCGTCTAAACTTGATACCTCATAGCAAACATTTTTTTTCTATATACATTCTGTTTATAGTGTGATCTCTTGCTTAGAGGCCATTGTTTCAGTTACATTCAACCAGCTGCATGTTGGAGCTTCAAGAGCTACAAAAGCAAACAGCCTCCAGGCAAATATTTCAATTTCCTTTGGCCCAAAAATGCATTCTGTATGACTTGTTCCAAGACTGCCAAGGACTTCAGGACCAAAGACATTCTGAATAAATTCGACAGGATGGATGCAGCAGCACTGTACCAGGTCTATCACTATAAACAAGCTTGTGGGTACGTGAAGCACAGTTGTACTGCCAGTAAGATTTAGAAAATATGATACTGTAAGTGTATGCAAAAAAAGGGCAAAATGATTTCATCTACAGTCCTTGAATGAGTCACAGCATAATAAAATCCTATATTGCCTCATCAGAGGAAGGAAGCAGCAAACAGGAAAAATAGAGTCAAGATTGAAATGATAGATTATTTTTTTTTCATCCACTACTTTGAAAAGGTCTTTTCACACTCCTGAACAATCTATAAGCACACACAGTATTATCTAAGAAATGGCAGTGACTAAAGTCAGCAAAAAGAAAACAAGTTGATTCCTTCAGGATTCAGATTAGGAAAATACTTCCTCTTGACTTGATATCTGAAAAAGCAATGTTTTCTACAAATGTTTAAGACTTGTCACTTTATCAGAGATTTTATATTATTTCCATGTAAGTTGCCTTTATCTACTATGTTTATTATTCTATTACTGATGGTGCAGTACCTGGAAGCAGAAGTAACCTACCTAAAAAAAAACAACAAACTTTTTTTTTGTTTGTCAAAAAGTTCAGTCACCTTAAATTTTCACTAGAAAAATGAGAAATTACTTCAGTGTGCACAAATGTGATATGAAACAAACGTTGCAGTTTTGATTCAGTAACACATTTATCTAAATAGATTACTCTTGGGTTTAAAATCATGCCCATGTTAAGTGCGCGGCCGAACTCAAGCATTTAGGATGTTTTTCTTAAAACACAGATTATTGGAGAACAGGGCATGTTATCAAGATGAGGATATCACAATTTGATATTTCAATAGAAGTCGCCTATTTTACCAGGTGAAAAAATACTAAGATGAAAGTATTATTTGATTCCCAGTTGCTAAACTGAAATGAAAACGAAGTTAACTGCATGATTTACATTGCGTAACCTCTCACCAACGAGGCTATGTGAAATAATCTACATAAACCCCTACTCTGATTCGTATGACAAGCTCTTTTTGAACATCTTCAATATTTCCCTGGCAGTTTTGAGTGCCCAACAACACCTCAGAACACATTGTTCTGTGGTATCACAATTACCAACAGTCTTAATGAAACACTTGTAAATCCGTATGATTACAGAGGTGGAAAACAACCCACTGACATTGATTTCATCCTTGCAGGCAGTGCAAGCAGCAATACCCAAGAGAAGTATCATATACTAGTTCCTACTCTAGTTCCATTTGTTGAAAAAAAGAAGTGAAATAAAGCAGACTAATGGCCATAAACGTTTCAACTTATTTCCATTTTCAAGATGACAG